CCTCCCTTCCTATCTGTCCCGTGGTCCTTGTGTCAAGTGCATGCTTCCTCTCCTTTCGTTTCTCGTTGAGAGCCTCGTTCTTCAGAGCAACTTCAAGACGAGAAGTAGGAATTGGGGCGCAAGAACCGGCAGGAAATATTGAATTAATAATTATGTAGATACGAATTCTTGATATGTATGTATGTGCATATTTTTACGATGCACCACAGACCCGGACCCCTTTTCCCTGCCACTAATTAGGGCGCAGCACAGCGGCGGTTCCGTTGCGATCTGTTCAAGCGCATCCCCGCTATACGTCCACGTCCACGTCCACGTCCAGGGGTGCCACAATGATCCTCTACATCCTAGCAAGTTGCTTCTTCCGTTACAGGTGCGAGTACAGGTACAACCACCCCGGGACGACAACATTTAAATAGTCAAAACGATCACTTCACACTATGCGAGCACAGGGTAAGAGGATTCCACTACTGAGATTCCACCACCATCCATCTACCACTTGCTACCTCCATTTCAATGTAAGCTGTATCTGTGTTGGTGTAACGTCTGTCTGGCGGAGGGTTGCTAGACCATCTAATTATCATTTTTCAACGTTACGTTCGTCTGAGGCCCCTACTCAGGTGTCGGACTCGCAGTCAGAGTCCAAGTCAAAAAGACATCATCAGGTGTACTCGATGCCCTGCCGCTGATGATGTGTATTCCTTGTTCTTTTTTAAGGGGATGGATGGGACCAAGGATTTCGTTGATGCACGACTGAGCGCTAAAGAAACGTCTTTCCTTTGTTCCGTCAGTCCATCCCCAAATCGTATTCGTGACCCTCATCGTCCCGCACTTCGCGTCCTGGCTGGCTGGCAATTACTTCAAAATGCGTTAATGTTTTGTGTCCCTTGTCCCTCGATGATCGTTGAGTGGATGGCAGGGATGGTAGGGATGGTAAGGATGGATGGATGGATGGATGGATCGGGGGCTTTGTCTGCCTGCAGCTCGCATTCCCCGGTACGTCACACTCCACTCGACTCCGCTTTGACTCCGCGGCTTTGGTTGGCTTTTTGAGTGGCAATCAGATCAGGGATGGGGCGACGGAAACCTTTTCGCTCCCTATTCATGCCACTGCTTGGCATTCATTTCCCGGGCATCCTGTTGCTTGCTGTTGCATGAAACAGGATGGCAACGAGCGTGTAATATAACAGTTACCCCCCACTCTGCTCTACCCTTGCTACACCCCCCAGATCGTTCGTTCAACTGTTGCCTTTACATGGATTTTTTATTACCATTTTCCAATTTCCAATTTGAATGCCGCCGCCTGTAAAAAGGAAACGATAATTGGCTGGATATTGCTGTTGATTCCTCTTCCTGCCCCGAACTTTCAGGGCAAGCTGAATCTATTTTAATTAATTTTCACATTTGTTGAGGGACTTCCCTCGAATTGGATTCAAGGTTCCGCCCACAAGACCCCGAAACCCACGAAAAAAAATACAAGCTTCCCATTGCCGGCGGCCTGCATGCGCAGAGCAGAGACAAAAGCACGGCGGAAAAAAGACCAAACAAATCAAAATCAATTTGTCAAGCGACACTTGCCACCGTAAATAAAACTCGGCAACAAGCAGTGGCAGTGGCAGCAACAACAGCGGCAGTGGCAGCCACACAAAAAACCAAAACGCGCATAAGACATTCGAACGGCAATCAGAAATCAAAACAAAAACCGCTAAAATAACAGAAAAAAAAGAGCGGCATACAAATAAAACACTAAAAAAAGAAAGAAAATTTTTCATTGAGAAGCCGAAGCTTTTGATACCCTTTTTTACGGCGGTATTGATTTAGTCTGAGCTATATCTAAGATATGATATGCTCCTCCAAACTTATATTTTTTCTGTAGTAATACACTGAGAAACAAGGGATATTTTATGGATAATTTGAAAGGTACATTTCACTTAAATTTTAAAACGTAAATTGTATATGTATAAACAGTATGTATAAACATTTACTTATGATAAAGTACCTTCTTAAATTATTTAATATCAATGATCACATCCTCAGGTTATTGCGGTAGCAGTGGGGAGGGGTGATCCTGGGGAAAGCCCAGCTCACTTGGGCCTATTGAAGGTCCATTGTGATGCCTAGGCCGTGGTGATAATTTCTTACAGCTCAAGGGCAGTCCCGGTGCCTTGGATATACATATTTGGATATCCGAAATGCCCGTGAGGATAGGGGCCCCGAGAAGCCAGGGCCGGGCAATGGCTCTTTTTCGTCCCGGCAATTTCTGCAGAAGTCCTTTTGAGGGATTGACTATCGGAACATTTGCATTGACGATATTGCTAATGTTGCCGATCAACAATATAGTATGAGTACATATGTATATCAATAAATTCTGCCTCTTATTTAAACTCGCTCAACTTTTTATTAGCTTAAAAATATCCTTTATGGGATATGATGTTCGCCTCTTCTAATCATATTCGTAGTACCCTCTGCAAAGGGTACAACAAAAGTTGGCGCGCATGCGCAAACAAGTTTTAGACAAAAGAGAGAGAGAGAGAGAGAGGGAGAGAGAGAGTCACTGACTGCGAGAACAATCGGAGCTTTTCGAGCCGGCGAGCGCCAAACGCGTGGTAAGAGACCTATCTCTTCTACTCTCCTCTCTGCCCCAGCCCGAGCCCCGTCCCCATCGACACCATTCAATTGTTAGAGGAGAAAGAAACCAGGAGAGGAGCAGCGCAGGGCAACCCATACAAATGAGTCAGAGCTGCGACTGGCACTCCATCGATCGACAATTGAAACAGGACAGGATCCGCTCACCGTTGCTGGCGCGTCTGTAGAGCCTGGGGGAGGGGAACGCAGTATGCAAATTGTTGTAAACCGACGCGACAACTTCATTTGTTGAACGGAGCTCCGGCGTCGGCCAACGGAAACGGCATCGGGCAACGGGCAACGGGCACCGAGGCAACCGTTGGCCGAGGATGGGAATGGGAGTGGGAATGGCGCTGGGAGTGGGATTGTGGGGAGTGTAATGGGAGTGAGGCACGTCGCCAGCTAAATTGAGGTTAAGTAATGCAGTCAAATGCGTGAAAAATGGCAAAAGAACAAATAAAACCCAGCCACAAAAACTGGGCAGGGCCAAAGGAGGACAGAGTGCCAGACACTGAAGGCACCGATGGCTTGAGCCAAAAAAAGCAAAAAAAAAACACGAAAAAAGGCGACATAGGACTCGGTGCGTGACGGCAACATAAAACGTCGACACGTTGCCAAGACGATGTTGTCATCATCATCATCATCTACCAACAGCAAGAGAAGCAGCAGCAGTGCTGGTACCCACCAGCACCTACATACATGATCGTCGTGAGGCTCCAAAACCTGATCCCCGATTAGCATGCAAACATTCCTGCGATTGATTTTTTTGGGTCAACATTGCGAAAAAACTGAAGCCTGCCGCCTGTCCCCGTCAGCGTCTCTGCGCCTGACCCCACCTGCAAGTCGAACTTGGACTCCGACTCGGGCTTGACTTTTGGGTTTTGGGGGATTGATAATTAATTTCGGCATGGCACCTAGTAGCAGTTGGACGGACACTCTAGGCTGACACCACGCGACACCTGCCTCGGTCTCTGTCTCTGCCGCTGCCGCTGCCGCTGCCGCTGCCACTGCCACTGTCTCTCAGCAGCTATGGGGCCAAAATAATACAAGGCCTTCTCTGGCGCACGTAAACTGGTTGGGTTGCCATTGGCAGCCAACATTTGCCGTTTGCCGTTTGCTCTTTGTGCGCGGCTTCTAATCCGTTTGGAATTTCAGACACGCCAAAGTGGCGCACCGACTGAGCGGATCGGAGCTGAGTTGAGTTGAGCATGCCACTGCCACAGCCAGAGGCTGCCAGGCTGGTTGTCGTCCACTTGGTGGCTTGGCTTGGCTTGGCTGGTTGCTGCTGCTGCTGGCAAAATGTCAAGTGTCTGCCTCGGAAATGAGGCCGTTGTGGTTGTGTGTCACAAGAAGAAGAATAAGTTTCAGCCAAAGAGAGAGAGAGAGAGAGAGAGAGACAGCAGCTGGAGAATGATCTATCTAGAGGAAAGCTCGATGGAGTTGTGACATCTTATTTGGCTGAAGGATGCTTCTTGTGAGTGGTTCCAGTTTATTCTCGGGGGAACACCGTGGCACATCAGGATATGGTATTTGGATTGCGATCATTGCCCCACTATGGGTGTTGCATCCTCTGTCTATATTGCGGCACTTCAACAAGAAATGACAGAGAGACTAATGTAGGGATATTTGAAAAGAAAATTTATAGAAAAACTCTTTGATATCAGATCTTCAATAAAAAATTGAATAAACCTATTCCACCATGGCCCATTCGTCGTATGAAAAACATATTCCAGATTCCTGTCACTATTGGAACTACTAATGTACTTAAGTGATACCGATCTCTTTAGGAAGATTTCTTAGATTTTCTCAGATGAAATTTCACACCAAAAGATCTAACCAAACAAACTTTACACATTCCAATAATATTTATCTCCCTTAAAACTAATGCGAAGAAATCTATGTACGTTACGTATACGTCAACCTTCAGTTGATCCCAAAAACCACTCATAATAATTCCCTTTCGCCACTCAAGCATCACATTTTGGATTTGATGAAGGAGCTGGAACCCCTCGGCGTGGCCCCAGCACACGCCATGCGAAATAATAACAGGCCATTCGCCTTGGATTCGACCGCCCAATCACTTGATCACATGTTATGCAACTCAAAAGATACAAAGATACAGAGGCAGAGAGAGAGAGAGAGAGAGAGAGAGAGAGAGCGAGAGAGAGAGAGAGAGAGAGAGAGAGAGGGAGAATAATAAAAATAATAACAGTTGGCGAGAGAAGAAAAACTGCATTTTCACGCAAGTGGATGAATGGAAGTGAAATGAGCCGACGACGACGACGATGACGATGACGACGACGACGACGAACGAAAGCCAGTTGCAGTTTTCCCCCAAAACAGCGTCTGTTGTCTGCTGTCTGCGTCTCGGCTAGCCAGCCGTGTGGTGCCCCCAGCAGCACACGCCACACCAGGCTACGCCAGTTGGGCACCATCCACATCCCCATCTCCCACCCCATATACGACTCCCGATCCGATCCCGAACGTAGTTGAAATTGCATGCCGAATTCGCCAGACAACCAACTAACCAACCAACCAGTTTCACTTGCGAAAGCAAACAGCTTCCATTCCCATTTCATTCGACAGTCGACCGCCGTTAGCTGGAAACGCGTTTCGGGGCCCGAGCAGCGAGCTAAAATCAAAAGTACTTGTACTCGTAACTCCCGGAAGCTCATCCCATCAATCAGTTCAGGAGCACTTCTGTTGCAAGGAAGAGAAGATGAAGGAGGCCGATCTGGAAGAACAGTATGCCCGCTTTCCGAAGATCAAGCGATCGGAGGTGCAAAAGTTTGTCGAATGGATTCATGTCCAGCCGCACATCTCGAAGCAATTCTCGGAGGGCGAAGCCCTGCATTTCTTTCACGCCTGCCGCTACAGCATGGAGGTGGCCAAGCAAGTGCTGGATATCAATCTCACGGCCCGCACCCACCTAGATGAGTTCTTTGTGAACCTCGACAGCGAGCGACCGGAGCTACGGCGTGCCATGAAAACAATGTAGGACCAAGTTCTTCTCACTGAGAATTCTATCCAATTATCTCCAAGTGTAATTATAGTTCTATTGTTCCGCTGCCTGGAGCTACTCCCGAAGGCTATCGTGTGATTGTCGCCAAACTCGAAGACCTCAATGCATCGAATTATAACTTTGCGGATGCCATGAAACTGTAAGTGGAAGATTAACTGACAGACAACTCTGCAATATGACTCCTGGAATCTAGAGGAAGATACAATCCTCTCAAGACTCTTTTGATAGTTTTCAGCGCTACCTGTCTTGGAGTCACGTTTACGTAGGCAATCCGTTTATATATATATTTCGAGTTCGAAGTCAAACAAGTAATATCCGAATTCCCAAAAACTTGCTTAGCTTTAGTATTAATGGCCAACAATTATTGCAAAAATAGTTAAGTACAATTTACGTGTCATTTGCGAGCGGGACGAGTAGCGTGATTATGACAAGGCATACTAAACATGAGGAGATTAAGGTCCGAAGTGTTTAATGTCACCCCGAACACAACCCCAACCCCAACCCCAATACGTGAACCCGAACCCGAATTGTGTTCCGTGCACGCACACAAGATTTAGCAGCTGTGGATTCACAGTAGCACAGACTCACACAGATACGATACTCATCTACTGGCACTCGCAGATCTGATCTCAGATGATATGTGCGCTCTATATAATGGTTATCAATTAAAACATAACAATTAAATGATCAATTATAAGGGGATACTGATATCTCTATAGTAGCTGCGGCTAAGCATGTGTTTTGTGCACTTTCAGATATTGCATGATATTCGACTTTTGGATGTACGAAGATGGAATACAGCCCGGCCATGTGATTGTAATCGATCTGAAGGGCTGTGCCCTGGGGCACTTGGCCCGCATTGGACTTCTACAAATGAAGAAATTCCTCTTCTACCTGCAGGTAAAACTCTTGACTCTTAGTTAAATCAAATTGTACATGTTTCCTGTTGCTGTAGGAAGCGGCTGCCATACGACTGATTGGTTTCCACTTTGTCAACATTGTGCCTTTTATGGACAAGATTATGGCCCTTATGAATCCGTTTATGAAGAAGGAGTTGACAAGCGTTCTCCATATGCACAATGACATCAATGACTTCTACAAATTTGTACCGCGCGAAATGCTGCCAAAGGACTACGGCGGACCGGGGGAGGAGACCAGTCTGGCCAAGGGTGAGCCTCAGAATATAATTTACATGGATTTAGTGTATTAAATTGACATATTTGCAGAGATCTATTACAAGAAACTGTTGAACAATCGCAAAGAGATGCTCGAGTTTGAGACGCGCCATCAGGTTAATGAGAAACTGAGGCCCGGGAAAGCCAAGACCGTCTCCGATCTCTTTGGCATCGAGGGAAACTTCAAGAAGTTGGACATTGATTAAAAATTTGTGGCATTACTATTACTGTTAAGAGGCAGAATTAATTGTTTACAGGTGTTTGCTAGTACTAATAAAATGTTCGTTAATTGTTTATCAATTAGTTGTTTAATTGAAAATCATGATTCAGAAATCATTCGAACGGTTTCTATAAGTAGTTAAATTTTAATTACTATCTTCTTAACTTCAATGATGCAGCTTCGCTTTAAGTCATACATAAAAACTATGTAATGCAATGTGATTGATTTGATGTTTGTTTCTTCATGTGAGAATGTGTGGATGATCCTTAGGTATTGACATGAGTCCTTCTTATGTGTTTTTTCAACTCATACTTGCTATGCGGTCACAGTATTCTTAACTTATCTACTTATGTATGTGGTGTACCTTTCTTATTAACCTATAATTTAAAACTATAAAAATGACTTTTTAACACACTGCCTCAGCGCAAGATCCTTTCCTCGTAGTCCCTGGTAGTCCTGATTTTATCTGTAAACAAAAAGCGACTTTAGTTTTGTAAATGTTATCAATTTTTGTAATAATATACTTATGAATGGTAATCCTTTACTAAATAAAAATAAAAACTCTCTTTCTGTTCTGAGGAGATATTCTGAATATCTAGGCAGTCTCTAAAGGTGGGAAATCCGAAATCCTATATTGTGTACCTCCTACAATACCAATCCTTACTGCTGGAAGTGTATTTGGTTCACTTGGTTGTGGTGCATTCCCATTGTACTGTTGACGTTGTTGGTGTTGTTGCTGCTGTTGGCATTGCGGCTGCGATTCTGGCCTCTGCGAGCTGAGGACTTTGGCTTTGGCGGCTGCTCTGCCATCACAGAGTACGGCTGTACATTGCTGGTCACGGCGATGGGTACCTTTATTTTAATGGAATAGAATGTCAGTATTATCGAACGTGCGACTAGACGAGGCAATGGTTGAGGGCAACCTACTGGTATATTGTAGTGCTGCATGGGCATCGGCTGGGGGGTGGCCAGTCTGTTGCCATAGCTGTACGTGTTTACGGTGTTGCGCGGGCCGGATATTATGGTAGCAATATGCGGCACTGATGATGTCGGCGTCGGTGTTATTAGTGAGGTCGTGTTAACGACGTTGCTGACTGATGCCGTAGCCGACACCGAGGTTGGCTGCGTGGCACTGACCGACACTGGGCGTACATATGTACCAGACGGCAGTCCGGCCAGCAGGGGACCAGGATGTTTGAGAAGACTCTCCTGATTGGGATGGCCGCTGAGGGACATCATGGTCTGCCATTTTTTGGGGGCTGATCCGGCAAAAGCTCCACCAGATCCAGATCCAGACCCAGTTCCCGATCCCGATGCTGTCGGAATCGGCATTGCACTGGACGCTGTCCGATGCAACTGTGGGGTGGGAATGGCGATACTAGTTGCTGGCGCTGGTGTTGGTACCGATGTCGCTACTGGCATCGGAGTAGCCATATGACTGGCAATCGGAGTGGCCATCGTTGGCTTTGGCCTGGAGCGCGTCGGCTCTGATACCGGCGGTGGCGTCAAATCGATCGTTTCACCCAGCCCCAGTGCGCTGGCCTGGCCGCATGTGGCCGAATGACGCTGCCAGTGCATCTGCTGGCAAGGATAGTCGCAGTAGGAGGTGTTCCAGCAGCAGTACAGCTGAGCCTCTCGCATACAGTTGGCGCACCACTGTTTCTTCTTAGTTTCTTCGACGGCATGATTCCGTTCCAATGTGCTCTGCTGACGCATCTCGCTGATCACGCGCTTGTTCTCCTGATCCAGCGCCTTGCGCATCTCGTTGATCATTTGCTCGTTGTTGCGCTTTATCTCCGAAAGCTGGCGGCTGTAGTCCTGCTTTAGGCGCTCGTTCTCCAGGGCGAGGCTGGTGATGCGAGCCTGCAGTATATTCTGGTCACCGCCGCCCAGATCGCTAAGAGTGTCCTCGATGACGGATATGAAGTAGTCCGTGATCTATGGGAAAACAACGAGTATTATTTTAAAATGCTACGAGTATCTTCAAAGAATAATCAGGAACTGGCTTACTTTGTGTGCATTGTCTTTGAGACGTTGAGAGACGGGTCCGGCGTGCGCTGGATAGAATTGGGAGCCATCCGACTGAAGTGGACCGCATGGACGAGGCACCAGCTTGGGCGGAGCCGAGCGCAGGAGCATTTCATTCAGAGCTGCACAGACGAACGAATCATTCTGTCTCGACTCGCTCACCATGGTCTCTGTGGGCAGTCCGTTCAGAGCGTTGGCCAGCAGGCCACCGGACTCCATAGTGGGCGGCATGGATATGGCTTGAGACGTGGACGTGCCCATCTGGGGCATGCTCAAACCCGCCAGAGGCGGTGGCATGGAAGCACTGCTGCTTTGCACTGAGGTGGGGCCAGGGGGAATGGGAATGCTTGGTATAAACGTCGAGCTCTGGAGTGTGCTCTTGGACACGGCTCTCAGGGGAGGAACTGGTATCGTCATCGGGCTGTTCAGAGTGCAGCCGCTTGCCTGCTCCACGGGTATGACCACCATATTGGATCGCAACAGGCTTGATGTAGTGGGTGACGGGGGCGGCTGCGTCAGCGGTTGAGGACGGTCACTTTTTTGCCGCACATTCGGCGGTGCAGGTGGCGGTGGCGGTGGCTTGCTGACCACGTACACGCCGGGTGGTTTGACGCTCGGCAAATGGCCGGGCGAATGAGCTGGCGAGGTGGATGCTTGCCCCGACAGAGGCAGAGGGCCATATGGGACGCCCCTGCGTTTGGGTGGTGCCGCCTCCATAGCTTTGGACGCCGTGGCTGCCTGCTTGTGGCTGATCTTTTGGATGGACGTGTCGCCCACATAACGCACAGATGGCGTCTCCTCGCGCATCGTTAGCACTGCCTCCGCTCTGTTGGCCTGGGGCTGTGACTGCGGCGACGGCGGTGGAGGCATTGCCTGTGCCACCAAGTTATGTCTGCTGTTGTGGGTCTCCGATTCCGTTTCCTCTTCGCTGAGAACCTCTTCCTTGATGGCCACGAGCTCTGGAACAGGGGCAGCAGGCTGGGCCTCGCCTGGTTCTGGCGGTGGTGTGGGCACAGGCACAGGCACTGTGATCCTCGGTTCCTGCGGAGGATTAACCTTCTCCTTTGGCTCCTTCTGTGCTTTTTGCTGTTGTGCCTTCTCTGCCGGTGCTTTTTGTTGTTCCTTGGCCGGCTTAGGTAGCTTCGGGGAGGTAGAGTCGGGGGCAATAGTTTCCTGCACTTGAGGGGGTTCTTCCTCGGGCTCTGGTTCCGATAGCACTTCGGCTTTGACTTCGACAAATGGAATCACTTTCTTGATTAGCTGCTCCTGTTGCCGCTCAACTTCGGACCTCTTCAAGCCCTTTGCTTCGGCTCTCTCCAGTTCACGTGGCTGTTGGGCCACTGGGGGCTTGGCAGCTTCTGGGGCAGTGGTGTCACTTGAGGAGGCAGCTTGTTGCTGTTGCTGTTGTTGCTGCTGCTGCTCGCGTGATATCTTGGTGATGGTCACGCCTTGACGACGTCTGACCAAATCCACCAATCCGCCGAGAGGATCCGGCGTGGTATCGATTTGGGAATCTGGCAATTTTAAATGCATCTCCGACTCAAGTTCGGAAAAAAGAGACTCGTCCTTCTTGTCCTGCTCCTCCTCTTCCGGATTATTCGCTTGTTGTTGCTGCTCCAGTTCTGCCATCTGCTGCTTGCGTGCTGCATGCTTTTCGCGACGACTCGATTCGGAGGTGCCGCTGGTATCGCTTATGGAATGTTTACGCCTCTTCCCGGCCACCTCTGTACCCGCCACTGAGGCGTCGGCTGGTGGTATGGCCTTTGCTGCCAGGTTCTTCCGCTTGAGCAGCACCTTGCAGCGTGAGTCGGTCAGCGATTCAGCCGAACGGGGTATGACCTCATAGTTGTTGCTCTTCTGCTTGACATGCTCATTGCCGGAGACCGTGGCGGTTGCTTGTCCTAGTCCCTGAAGCTGCTGTGATGAAAGCGGCGGCGGCGGCGGCGGTGGAAGCTTCTTGACTGGACTAACCGACTGATCCGACTCATTGCCCGACTCTGTGGCGGCCTTTGTTTTCTTTACAATGGACAACTTATCGCCTGCTGTTTTACGAATGAGAAACTGCAGCGGCGTCTTGTTGGCCGGCTCCAGATCACGATCGATGGCCGCGTATACGCCTGGCATCATGTTCTCGAGCTGCTGCTGCTCCTCGAGCGGATCGTAGGGCGTGCGGTAGGGGGCATAGTGGAAGGAGCCGATTTTCCGCTTGATATGCTCAATATGCACCTCCACCTCACAAATGCAATCGACCAGGTCTCTGGCCATGCGACGACTGGTCTGCATATTGGGATTCTGGGCCGAGTACAGGAAGCAATCCTTCACGGGCACATGGGCGCGATCATGCTTGCCAAAGAAGCGCACATTCACCAGGCCTTTGTCGGCACCCATGGCCTTGGCGGGCCAGTAGGGAAATCCCTTGAGCTTGGCCCAGAGCAACAGATGCGGCTGACGGCAAACCTTCACGAACCACTCGTCGCTGGAGTTCGCATTCAGATAGCACTCGGCGCAGGTGTCTATCTCGATGGTCTCCTCGCGGCACACCTTCACCAACTGCTTAGCTGGCTGCTCCACCTTGAGGTCTGCAAAACGAAAGCAAATCGAAAGGAAAGGTTGGTCATTGTGCAGTGAAAACACAGTCGACTCTGAATGCTGCTCACGTACCGCCAGAGTCCATTATCAGGGCATTGTGCTGCATCCACTTGACCTCACTCAGGAACTCATCTACACTGCAAAAGGCGTTGTTTTTGATGCGCGCGGACAGAGTCGCGAAGCTCACGGGATTCACAAAGAATTTTTTGTACGTTTCCGGTAACACATCCTCTGGCGCCCGCAGCTTCTGGAGCTGCAAGAGAAGAAGAAGGAGACACAGGAAATGTGAATTCTCGGGTTGTATTACCAAAGAAAAGCAGAGGAAATTAATTGGAAAATACGAATTGTTGCCTCTACAGGGGAGGGGGATGGAAACCACAGATAGGAAGTGGTCTGCAAGCCAAGGCAAAGCATAAATAGACCCAAATATGACATAAAATGACGAGTCTATAGCTTGTCTAATTGTTTCCAATGCCTAACTGCCGGCAGGCGGCGATAGCATTAAGTGAATTAATTAATTAATGGTCCGCGTGGCGCGAGCATTTTAAGCATATCTAACGAGAGAAAGTCCCACTCGAAAGGCCGTCGCAATTAACTTTTATTTAAATGGGTTACACATTAATTGGCTTCTTTAAGGCAACCATTGGCCTGCTTCGTGTCCGTACATTATATTACATAAATGCAGAAATGCCCCATTAAACGTATGCCATATGGTGCAGAGCCCAGTCTGAAGAAGCATGTGGCCAGGGCAGACTTTAGTTTGTGTTAAAATTAACAAACAAGAAAACAAAAAGAAAGCCGATATGTACAGCGCATTAAAGAGATCATTTACACAGCCTGTTTTACGAGCTATCAGACTTCATTATCGAGTAAACTAGAAAGAAAACAATATATCAGTCGAACAAATATGCCTGCCGATGCGGCCCTTCTACGGTCATCTAATGCAGATACATATGTACATAAGTACAGTAGCGCATACGGCACGTGAGTCGTGAAGCGCTTCCAACTATCGCTTCCACTATAGCTGAAGCTTGGACTGGGCACGTAGGTCATTGCAGCGGAGCCTCCTTCTGCGACGTCAGCACAGAGAGCGAGTGATAAAGAGAGTGAGAGAGCGAGGGGGAGAGCGAAACCCAATAAACCAGCGAGACATTTCAGGTGTCTACTCAAAGTATGTTTCGTCACTGCAGAGATAGTACGAGTAGGAGCGTGAGCACACACACACACACACACACAAAGCGTCGGCCATACCCAGAGACAGACACAGACACACATCTCGAATGTATGTATATCTTATACATTTTGCTGTTTTTGCGAAATATTTTTTCGCATTAGCAAACGAATGTGTCGAAGATAACGAAAAATCTTGATGGGTAATGAGATACACACACAAATATATATACATATATGTATGTACATATGTATATTCCAAGCATAATCACTTACCCCGCGCACTTGTTTCATGCGTTCGAGCGCAAAGCCTAGCAGCTGGCTCAACAGATCGGCCGAGACATCGTTCCGACGCAACCTGTAAAAACGAAAAATGTATATAAAGAAAAATGCTCGCATTTGCAAGGGAAAAAGGTCGTGGTCACCTTTTAGGTGCGGGGTCAAGCAGCGTGCACTCGGGACACTTCCAAGAGTAATCGAATTTTGTGGTGGCTGGACGCACACAGTATGAGTGAAACGAACGAAGACACTTGCTGCACGCCTGCAGATTGCCGGATTTCCGACACTTCCAGCAGAAGGGATCCCAGCCATTCTAAAATGAAAAGAACATGCAAGAATACGAAGATGGAAGATATTACACTATTTTATTATTATTTTTGTTTACCCGTGGCGGCGTTGTGTAGATCTGCATCATTCGTTCGTATGCCTTGTCTTCTGGCTCTGGCTCCTTGTCTGTAGTCTTCGGATTAATGAAATCCAAGAACGCCGACACATCGGTATCTTGCATACTGCCAGCCGAGCTGTTGATCCAATCGCTATCGACCTCGGTCGAGGTGTTAGGGTTTTGCTCAGATTCCGGATCATGTATGATGCTGTTCAGAAAGGCGCTATGCTTCTTCGCAAAATCCACGTTCTCGGTGCGGAGATTGGCGCGTTTGGCTGGGCGATGCTCCTCATTGCTACAGCTGTTACTTAGCGAATTGGTCTTGCTGCGGGAGCGAAGGTTGGAGGGGCTCAATTCCACAGTCGAACTACTATTACTATCCTCGGCATCAAGCCCCCGCACGCGTTCTCCGCAATCGTTGACCATGGAAAGACCCCGCTCTTGGCGTACTTTCGTAGCCAGCCTTTCAACCCATTCGGTATCTTCGGCGTCCCAGGACGGGTTTGGTATGCTCTTGCTGCGTTTCATAAACTGATTTTTCTTGCGCTTGCTGTTGCGGCTGCGGCTGGAAGATCTGGAAGAAGGCTTGGGGGACGACCGCTCCTTGTCTTGCTGGGCCCGTTTCATAAGCTGATTTGTGACAAAGCGCGACTTGCGGCGCTTTAACTTCGATCCATCGGCCACAAAGTGGCTGAGCACCTCGGACTCCATTTGTGACCTTTGGAGGGCCAGCATCTCCTTGGGCACCTTCGTCGTCTTGCCCTCCTTCTGTGGCAACGATACCAATGGGCTAAGGTCCGACTGCAGCTGCAGGTGCGGTTGCGACGGCACCTTGGTCAGTTTCATGGTGAGCGGTGGTCCGAGTGTGGCCGACGGACTGGAGTTGGACGAGTTGCTACTGCCGGCAGCCGACCCCGGTGGGGCACTCACCACATACTTTTGTCGCTTGTGGGGCATACTGGGCTCCATATCATGACTGTCCGCCTGAAGTAACAGCACTGGCTGGGGGCTGTCGATGGCGGAGAGGGCCTCGAATTCAGGACGCGGTATCGAGTTCACGCTGTCCCTGCTGTCGCTGCTGTCCGTTTCCATGTAGATTTAGCAAACCTCCGCTTCACTGCAAAGATTATATACGATGATATGGAGGCGTTAGGGTAATGTAATGCTAGAACGTTAACCCCAACTGCAACTGCGAGAAATCACGACTGGGAGGCCGTGAGACCGCGCGAGCGAACAGATGTGACGAATACTCTCAAAATGGCAAATCTATGTATAAATGCAAACTGTCACGCTGCTGCTGCCAGCTTGCCTTTCGGTGCGGTGCTGCCTGCTTACTGTGGCTTCTGTGGTTGTTGTTTCTTTGATTTTTTTTTGCGTCACCTGAGCAACTTCAGCGAGTGGCAGCAATCGCTTTTTAAAAATTATTTAACCTACGCCTCGTGGTAGATCAATACGCACACCCACACACACGCACAGGCCCGTACACGAGCACCCACCTTCAGGGGATCCTGGGAGGATGTTTCAATGGCCGGACGCGGCTGCGGACATGGTCTGTGGAACAAAACAGCAACTATTTTGGGCCTCCCTGGCGACAGTTTTTGCTGTTGCTGTTGCTGCTGCTACTGCTACTCTTTTTGTTGCTGAGGCCCGCCGCAATATGTGTGCATCTGTAAGAAAATGTGCACTCGGTAAATACAAAGTTATAGTTGTTCGCGCTGGCCCGTCAAGCAAGCGAGAGAAAGAAAGGGAATATGTGTGTCTTACCAATTTCACTTCTTGCGACAGCCATCGACGAGTCGCTCTGTTATGGGTTATGCTCTCTTTTCTGGCCTCCGGCGCTATGATCAAACCAATTTTACACTAGAATTCTGACCTAGATTGTGGGCTGTATGCAGTCGATGCACCTTTTTCCTTATTTAGTTGACGCTTTTATTTCTTTTCGCAAAATTGCCGCGGACTGCTCGCTGCCTTGTTTTCTTGGTTATTTTTGTTGTATTTGTTTTTTTGCTTACATTTACTCAAATTACTACATGGCAACTACACAGTAACTACACATGTGCTACACAATGGGTTGAAAAAGAGGGGTATGGACAACCGACTCGATTCTGCGTTGCAGGACAGAGCAGCAGTGTGACCGATGTACCGATGAAAAAAAAACTTAGCCCACGATATCTTTTACCTGAACAGCGCTAAAATTTTAAGCAAATACGTCAATGCACATACTGTATGGTTAGTTATAAGGCGTATGTAAGTGTTTTTGGAATGTAGGGAAATTGTTTCGATGCAAAAAACAATATTGTCGCGATGAAACAACCCTCCATCAACCGGCTTTCGATACTATCGACTGTGCATTAAAGCTGGGCGCCAAAGTTTGAAAAGGAATGAATGACAAGGATATGAATGCAATCCATTGGAATAAATTATGCAGGGACCCACGATTTGAGAGAGCGAAAGTTCAAAAATGCTTTAATATGCAAAAAAAAAGTCTTGACGTCGAGGAAAGCAACCAAATATTGGTAATATATTAAACAATGGAACACAATACCAAAATACGACAGAGACTTGATGCTTTTATTTATAAATATTTTGGTATCTTTATTTGGTTCAGCTCTGCATGCAAGTGTGAATTCGCCGCAATTGCGGTCCTCTTCGTCCCTACTTTTTCACTCTCTCCCTCTCTTCGAGTTGCTTGTTGCATTTTGCTCTCTCTCTATCTCTCTATTTGTTTTTGGTGTATTTTTATGTAAATCTTTGGAAATGTTTGGAAAATTTAAATAAATAATAGCTTAGTATCGTTGGAACTCTAAATGAATTGAATATTTATAAAATGCCTGAACTAAATGATAATAGGCCATAGAATGTATATTAAAAAATTGTGATGTTGTTATCTGAGAATTCAAAGTGTGGCTCAAAATGTAATTTATCCGCAATCGCAAAATTAAGTATCAGAAATAGAATAGACCTATTTTAGGAACAGAACAGCCCATCGAACAGATGCATAAAGCTCAGTTTAATTAATATTTTTATTAGGTTATCAGAAAATACACAAAGAGCATATGTATGTTTCATAGATCTATGAATCCTAATTATGTCGATACTTTTAGTAACACTCAATAGCAAATAGCACTAATAGCTGAATATTTGTTGAAATTAGTTTATTTTTCCACGACTATCACGTTCATCTGAATATAGTATAATAATTACCTTAATAATGAACTGAAATGCAGGAACGCTCGTATGAATTCGAAATGTGGCTAACGACCTTGAAAACAATATACATATATAAATCAAGGGGGTAGGTAGAAGGTGCACAGAACAGAAGTCTTTAATCACAATTTGGAGAAGTTTAATTAAAATTAAAAGCCATTTTAAAGTAGGACCAGGACTAGGCTGACTCGAATAGATATGGACATAAAACCCGGGGCTAACAGGTAAACAAGTTATGAATCCCATTACATAAACCATTTCCCAGGCTGACAATCCCCAACCCGTGGAAGGGTCCCGTTCCCACATTCCCACCCACAACCACTCACACCCACACCCACAGTCGAACGAACCCAGGGAAAACGGTTGAACTTCTACAAACGGTTTTCATATATTCATGGCAAATTATAATGCTTCGGGGGGATAAAAAGCGACGACGAAGAAAGACAAAAGTTGGCCCATTCATAAGGGTCACACTTGGGGACACACAGCGACAATGTCGGAGTCCTGGCTGCTGCTGTCCCTCTTCCCTCTTTTACCACGATCTACTGCACGTGTAAACATGCATCTCCATATATCAATAAATTGAGATTACTTACATAATTTGTATTCCAAAATCCAAAAACTGTTAAAAAAGTTGCCATGGCCCCGTTTTTATACGATTGTGTGTCCGTCCGGGAGCGCGTGTGTGTTTGTCGTTGCCAGTACATGAGTACATCGTGGAAAAAGTTTTTTCTTTTTTTTTCGGCAAACGGAGAGAGAGATTGTGGATGGAGTGGGCGAGAGGGAGTGCTCCTCGGGGAGCAATTCGGTTAATATTCGGAACATAAATTTGCAAAGGAACCACTTTAATCAATGGCCAGGTAGCGGCATCGGGATAGGTATAGGGAAATGTGATATGGGGGTATATGGATATACAGAGGTGCAATGTACCATTAAGCAGAAGCGGGTATTGATTTGCTGAGAGTGAAGAGGGAGAGCAAAATAATGCGACTGTGGATAGCCTTTCCGACATACAGACAGGCATAAATAGCCGAGCACACGGCCAGTCAGCCACGGGGTTTCCACAAAATCCGGACATTGTTTGTTTTGCTAGCGGAAAAGAAGATGAAAATAGAAAAGAGAAGGGAGTAGGGAGTAGGAGATGAAAAATCGGATGGAATGGAACACTGTAGAAGGGATTGGGATTGTGGAGGGGAGGGGAGGGGATGCGTGCCATTCATAACACATATTGAATTTCATTTTGTGGACACTGCGCCACAGGCGACCCAACACCGACACCGACACCGACGGCCCTGCCTCAAGCCAAAGATAACTTGCATAATCGTTGCCATAGACTTACAATTTATAGAAAGCTTTTGCGGGCACCTGAGTCATGGGCTGGAGAGGCCATCCACTACCTCATCCACTCCTCATCCACTCCTCATCCACTCTCCATTCCGCAATCTACTACTGACCAATTATTGAGCCGTTGCCAAATGCAAGGGCATAAAATGAGCGCACATATTGCCAGGACGAGCGCTCCAGGACGAGGTGCAGGCATAGGAGCAGGAGTTGGCATTGCCTTTAGATGTGGGCTTAGGATGTAGGAGGTGGAAACGGGGCAGCGTACCAGAAACAAGAGCAATAACTGTTTGGCAAACAGATTTATTTTGCCTGCCTACACAACCAGGAGCGGATTCCAACACTTTGAGGGTCCTCGGATATAATTTAATTAAATATTCAGTTGGGAAGCTCCCCCAGGCCCTGCGCATTATTGCTGCCAGCTGTATGCAATGTACGATATGTTCTAAAAAGTTTCGCGACCCCTTCAAGTTTCGTAAAATGTTTTAGGAACTTTGCTAATTCATTCCGCCTGCAGTTTCTCCACGATATGAGAGCCAGCTTGAAGTGGTTATCCTCGTTACGAACACCCCCATGCGACGCTCCACAGCACTCGCCTAGATTTTCCCACACATATCCTGGAGCGCCCCAACCAATTACCTACTTAGAAAAAGGCCGCTCCTGGCGGCTCAGGGCTCAGGGCTCGCACACAAATATTGGTTTCCAACTTTCATTGCCACTGCGGTGGAGTGTGGTGGAGTGCGGTGGAGGTGGCTCCAGTTGCTGCTGCTGTTGGTCCTCTCCAACCTCAGCAATCCGCCTGCAGAGTCTGACCACAGACACCACCCCACCCACCTCCCACACACACGTCGCTTGGGCCGCGTGGGTGCAGTGCATCATTTTTGCATTAGAAAAGTGCAGGGCCATGAAAACTGTAAATAACCGGAATAGAAGCCTAAGAGTCGGAGGCAGGTCCCAATGGCTCTGGGGCCTAGGCCAGCCGCAAATTATGCTTGTCAAAAATGAATGTTGCATACGTAACGCTGAGACAGAAGAAGAACACTGCCAGAGGTAGTCGAAGAGGCAGAGGCAGAAGAGCCAGACAGAGGCAGCGAGGTCGCATTTAGAAAATCGCAGCAGCAGTTTGCGGTTGTCGTAGTCGTCGTCATGGCAGTACGTGCTCGATGCGTGCCAATCCCTGGAGGGTTCTCCATACATAACTATGGCAGAAGTCGATGCCAATGGCTATGGCTATGGCTATGGCTACAGCTTGCTCTTGGTTCTTGGCTCTTGGGTCTCGGGTCTCCGGGTCTCTGGGTCTCCGGGCCTCGGTCTTGGTGGTTTTGTGGATTTGCCCGCAAAACGGATGCTGCTGACGTTGTTGCTGACGCAGATGCAGAAGAGACGGCTAGTAGGAGAAGGAGGAACTTTTAACTAAATGTGCTCCGAGTGCATTAAGATGAAAATGTTATTACGACTGGGTATGGCTCTGAGGATGGGATGGTGGTGGTGGTGGTGGTGGGTGCTTCCTCTGCAGTCATTATTGAAGCATTTGTGAGGTGGCGGCGCACTGGGAAACGGAGATTAGGCGCGGAAATGCTCGAAATGTTAGTTTGGTTATCGCCTGGAATGGGCGATGATGATGGGGAATGGGCGAATGGGTGCAAAAAGTCGGAAATTTGATATGCCAAAAACCGTTTACGATCAACAAGTGATACGATGAGGAGCAAGTGCACCGAGAAATGCCAAAGGAGGACTCACTGGCAAATTATGCAGATTGCCTGATGATGAAACTGTGGATGGAAGCTATGGATGCGGCAGGACACAGAGGACAGCAGGAAGGGGGCTACTCGGATATTGAGGAAGTTCGGCTGCAGTTGTTTGGCGAGAACTTTCCATCAAGCGCCCAGGAAGAGACATTGATTTGACTGCACGACGAGGAGAGAGAAAGAGAAGTTTTCCATTATGGAAATGTCATCAAATCGATTTTCTTCTTTTTCCTATCTCGTCCGTCCGCCCCTTTTTGTGCAATCATAATGACGGTAAATGGTGGGGGAGTGAAATTGCAGGAATACTCGTAGTAGTAAAATATTCCACATGCTCCGCGTACGTACACGTTCCCTATAGAAATGAAAAGGCCAAAATGAGGTTTTTGCTTTTATTCAATTTATTCATATTTCTCTCATATTTTATTATTATTATTATTTGCAATAATAACTGTTATTACTCGTTACTCGTATTATTATTATTATTCCATCTATTTAAATATAGTGTGTAATAAAGCTTGACAATCTATTAATGCTATTACAATGTATTTTCGGTTATATTGTTCGTTAAATGTTCTTTTGTTTGTCCTTCCATATCCTGTTATGTTTTCTGTTTCTGTACTGTCATGTTTGCTTTACCCACTGTCCTACTGTCACACTTTCAATCCTCCTCTTCCTCCCACTATTCCGTCCTCGTCAACAGCTGTATTCGTGTCATGTCGGGATGTCGGGATGTTTTTGTATCTATATATCGTTTTGAGTCATAATATGTGTGTGGGAGTGAGTGAGCAGTGAAGTGGGTTTTGGTATAGTCGAGTGTTGGATGTGAGTTCCAGAGAATGCTACGGGATGGCTGTGGGGCTCTGTGGATTGTTGAAATTTGACTAATTTCGGCTTTCAATGGAATTCAAGTTAAAATGCAATATGCTGATTCCTTTTTAATTTTTTTTTTTTTTTTTTTAATGGTATCGTACATAATTTGTTACTACTATTCATCATCCTGAATTTAATTTATTTTTGGGCCGCACTTCGCAGCACAGAGCACTCATAAAAAGTTAATTTTATTTCCCTGGCATTCGCACTCTGGTTTTTTTTGTTGGTCGGTTTGTTCTATGGATGCACCGCAGTAGCTGCCTGCAATCGGATGCGGAGAGTCAGATGCAGATACACAGATGCGTGGCTCTCTACTGAGTGTATAGTATATGGTATAGTATGCCATGTAGTATGCTTTTGCATCTGTGAATCTGTGCATCTGCGTGTGTTTTCCATTTGCATTCACGCAGAGTAATTAAAATTATAGTTACATTTCCATCATCATCCGGCGCCGGAAAAGCGAGTGGCGAAACAGGCGGAGCCCGGGTGGAACCTGGGGATAGCCGTTTGTTTGTGCATTGATGGGAAATGGGAAAATGTAGCTAAAAGCATAGTTTAAATGTTTCTCTTGTTAGGTGCTCTCACCGCTCTCCGCCCTCCGCCCTCCGCCCTCCGCCATTCTCTCATTACTCTCTCTATTTGACTGTCGGTTTACACTTGTCTTTTGGCTCTTGCTTTTTGGCGGTTTCCATTTGGTTTTTTTAATTAGTTAAAACGATTTTAAATGAATAAAATATCGCCCCCTGTCTGCGGTAGTCATTACTGCGTGGGAGAGAGGTGTAGAGGGGCGTACGATGTAATTAAAATTACCTATTTATGTACAAATCTACAGGGAAGTACGGGATCCATCCCCATCCGCCATCTATTAGAGCGGACCAAACAATAAAACTTTGATTAAAACATTCACATTGCGCTGTCAAAAAGGAGGTACGCAAGGGCAAGGTGGTGTATGATATCTGAATAAATCGTAGGATGCAGGACGTGTGGGGTGTGTGGGGCAGTTTGTGTGTTTGTTATGTTTGCTGTTCTGGCAGCTCTCTATGTGCCGATGTGCAAATTTGCTTTCGGTTCAGTTCATAATATCAAAAAACAAAAATCCCCTCACCAGCCAGCAAACATTGCACACAACAGAGGAAAAATTAATTGGGTCGGGGAAAGCCCGGCTAGGAATCCCCCCTGGTGAAGTGAAGCTGTGCAAATATTTGCCAGAATACTTTCCCATAATTATTGTAGTAATTCATTGCATTCATGTGTTTAATTATTCCACAAACACACACATGGATACACGGATACACGGATACACAACTTAATGCATTCATCGTGTAAGCATGGGTGTGGGTGTGGGTGTGGGTGTAGGTGTGGGTGTGGTGTATGGGTTGATGGGTTGATGGGGCTGTGGCTGCGAGCGTGGTCATGTATGTGGAATTTATCATGTACTGTACTTATCATTGACTTCTATAACTTACATTTTATATTATCAAGCTCGAATTTGAAACGTTCTACATACACAAAAAATACTTATAATGCGGCATCTCTCTCTCCTATTGTTCTCTTGTGTTCTCTATATAAATCTCACACCAATATAGGTATATATATATATATGATATACACATCGATATATAGCTGTAGAGTATCTCTTGCCTCGACCTCTCGAATTTAGCAATTAGTTTTCGATTTTATTTATTCTCAAATTTTCATTTTTCTTTCTACATTCAATTAGATTACACACAAATCCATACACATGCAGAGATATATATATATATATATATATATATACGTATATACATACATATATATGTATATTACGTAAATGGTATGCCATATATTATTTAGATTTGGTCTACTTGCAGGACAAAGTGTGTGTTACAGCGCGGGACAGTGATAGGGAGAGAACTAAAAGGACTCCTTCTATAGGTATTCTAGGATAGGAACGGATTAACTATATATACTATATGCATATGTATGAGTAGATTGACTAGATGACGACTGCTAACAATACAAATCATAGGTACTAGGTGTTTGGCTCTGATATCGGAAGAACAATCCTACAGTTACTGCTGGAACCGGAAACAATGGCAATCGAGGATAACAGACTAAAAGTAGATTTGATTTAAAAAACATTTTTGGCACGCCTCGATGCAGTATCTATATATTATAGATATATGTAGGTAGGTAGGTAGGGAGTGTAAAATTATTTTTGATTTAAAAGTCCTTAAGCATTTAGGAATACATTTACATATGTACATAAAGAAGGAACTATTTTAAGGGGGGACTAAAGACTGTAATACCGTCACACATACAAATAACCATTGTACATAGATAGTTGTTTATATATAGTTGTTTATATCGGGGTGTTATAATAGATCTGCTAATATTATACATATGTATGCATATGCAAGTGCTACGATGCTACGATGAATTCCCATCCGGTGTTCTAATCCTATTCAGTGTCTGATCTCTAAAACGTAATTCAATAAAATACTCGTACTCCTCCAACAAACTCTAGCACCCCAGAAGCAAATGCATCTTTCTTTGGTTTCATCTATATCTGACAAGATACATATATACTATAGAATAGTACTATACACCTTATGAAGATCAGTTTTGGTCGCTATAATCTCTAGCATACATTTATCTTTCGTTTATTTTACAGAATTCAGAATCATAGAATGGCTACAACTATTCGGTTTCTGGCTAGGAATGGGGTCAGTATGGAGAGATCTCTAAATGGAGTAAACATGCGATACATAAGTATATAGAAGTATATATATACGATACCGGTATCTATGTAGTGAGATTCAAAAGGGGAAATAAACTCTGTTTTCGGAAATAAACTCTCAAATTCTCATTGTTTCGCATTTTGATTAGGGTTTGCTGCTATATATTTGTTTTTGATTCTGTGATCATTTGGGGGGTCTGTGGCAGTCAATAGATTGTGTCGGTTGCTATATAGTAGGTTTCTATACAAATTATCTGTGTAGACTCGAAACTGATATGAAAGTAAACGATTGCCAAGGAGTTGGGTTTCTGAATGTGATGAGGATTGGATGAGGATTATGGAAATGGGACTGGTACTGGTACTGGGTTCTGGGGCACGAATCTATTGACCTATTTACACTTGCGTTCCATAATACTATAGGGACACAAACTCCCCTCTGTCCTTGTCCTGTCCTTGGCTGGTCTCTGTCTGGTGCTGATGATGATCCTGGGCCTGCTCTCCCCCGACGGACTGCTTCTCGGACTGGTTCTCGTTGAAGAGCGTCTCACTCTCGTATTGCTCCTCATCGGGCAGCGAGAGTGTGGAGTTGCCCAGACCACCGCTCGCGGTGATGCGGCGCCCCATGTTATCGTACTTGGGGTACGCGGAGCTGTCGCCGCCTCCGCTCTTGCCACAGAGCGGCCGCAACGGCGTCACTTCGATGGGTGGCGTCTGGCAGGCGGACGGCGGCGGGCCGTTGTTGATGCAGCTGGCGCAACTGGCGGCGGAGACGGGCGGCATGTTGCTGGTGGCACTGGAGTTGGGGTGGTGGCACTGCACCACAGCCGTCACAGCGGGCGGTGGGGGAGGAGGCGGCAGCTCCATGGCGTTGCTTTGGCCTCCGGCCACGCAGTGGTAGGTCGTCTGGTGGCTATGGGAGTCCACATATCCGCTCGCATCCAGGTTGTAGGTCACGATCTCGTCGTGCGGATAGAGGCCGGTGGTGGCACCTTGCTGCAGTTGCTGTTGCTGCTGTTGCTGTTGCTGCTGTTGCTGGTGATGCTGCTGCAGCGAGGTATCCTTCTTGAGGATGCCCCGCCGCGTCGTGTGACGTGGCAGGGTGGCAAATTGGCCCTCGGGCACACTCACCGTGCCCGAGCCTCCATCGTTGTTGCACTGCACGTCCTGCATCCGCTTGGGGATGTTTAGCAAGTCCGGATACATGTTGAGGTCCGCTCCGTCGAGCATGTCCTGCGTGACTGACACGCGGATGAAGATATTGCCCCCAAAGGCGGGGTTCGGCACAATGTTCGAGCAGAACTCTGGTGGCGGTGGAAAGACGCCCACATTAAGGGGAAACTCCTCGGAGATCTGGCCGGGATGTGTGTGGGTGTGGGTGTGGCCCGCCATGGACGTGGGCACGGTGATCATGCCGCATGTGGGATCCTTCACGGTCATCAGCTGCTGCCGCATATGCTGGTGCGGATGCTGCTGTTGTTGCTGCTGCTGTTGCTGCTGCTGCTGATGCTGCTGATGCTGCTGCTGCTGGTGCACCAGCATTGAGCCATGGCCCATGCCCCCGCGGTGATTCTCCACGGCATGGATCTCGATCTGGTTGAAGCCCAGACCTGCCGACTCCGCCTTGTTGATGCTGATCGAGTTGGGATTGTTGTCGATGCCATAGCTGTCGCCGCGATCGTTTGTGGTCGTAGTGACGCTCGAGTCCAGCAGCTTCTTCTCCTGGTCATTGAAGCTGACGCTGGACTTGACACCCGCCTTGTTGGCGTGTCGATGCTGGCGGGTGGTGCGCTTGCAGAGGCACACCACAAAGGAGATGGCGATCAACAGGAAGACGGTGCCGAAGATGCCCATGATGAGGCCGAAGTACCAGAAGGTCTCTGGGGTCTTCACGAGCACATGCTGCACTATCTCGCTGAGGTATATGCTGATGTTCTGGGTCATGCTGCCGATGGGATTGGCCCCCGTGCAGGCATACGTGCCGGCATCCAGGCTGGTCACATTGAAGACGGTCAGGTTGCTCCACAGCTTGTCGGAGGCGATGCTCTCCGTGTCGAAGAGCACGTTGTCGTTGTCCAGGATCTTGCCATTCAGTTCCCAGGCTACCTCGGGAAGCGGATCCCCGTACACCAGGCAGCTGAAGGTCGTGTTGCTCCCAATATCGATGTTCTGCACCTCCTCGTTGTTGAAGATCTCGACGCGCGGCGGGCAGCCGAAGAGCTCATCGTCGACGCTGTCCCAGGTTCGATCCTTCTGGGCGGGCGGACCCTTGCAAACGAGGCTTACGGAGCTGAGGCGACTGGCCACATACCAGGAGCGGAACTTGCGTAGCTTGCAGTTGCACTGCCAGGGGTTCTCCTCGAGGGAAAGGGTCTTCAGGTTGGCCATGTGCTGGAAGACGTACTCGCTGAGGCTCTCCAGCAGATTGTTCTTGAGGTTCAGGAACTCCAGGAGATTGAGATTGGCCAACGACATGGGATCGATGTACGAGATGAGGCAGTCGTGCATGTCCAGGGTGCGCAGGTGGGGCAGGATGGGGAACTGGTAGGCGGCCAGGCGTTTCAGCGGATTGCCGTTCAGGTACAGGATCCTCAGGCGGTCGTTGCCCATGAACGTGTCCTTGTCGAGCATCTCCAGCTTGTTGTCGGACAGATCGATCTCCACGAGGATCTTCAGGCTGCGGAAGGACTCCTTGTGGATGTACTGCACCTCGGACTTCTTCAGGTAAATGCGCTGCAGGTTGAGCAGCCCCAAGGCCGAGAACTCCTCCCGGTTCAAGTACGGTATGTGGTTGTCGTTCAGCACCAGCACCTGCAGCTCCGTGCTGAGGGTGCTCGGGATGCTGGTCAGCTGCAGGGAACTGCAGATGGCCGATTTCTTGCCATTGGTCCACTTGCAGGTGCAGTTGGAGGCGCAGCTCAAGGACCAGTCATCGGCCCCCGTCCAGGCCACCAAACAGAGCACCAAAAGACACCAAGCTAAAGAGAAATAGGAAATGCAGCAATGATGTGGTTACTATTTCCCTATTTCCCAACTATTTCCCACTCACCTGGAAGACCCATCGTGGTCGTAGTCGTGCTGCTGCTCCTTCGATCCATGCTGTGCATATGGCTTCCTTCTCCTCTGCGCTTCGACGATATTCCTTCCGCTTCCGCTCCCGCTGCGTTTTGTGTGGCCTCGGCGACCCTGCCAATTGATGACCCTAAATGGCTTTGGCTGATTCGATTGCCATGTTTCACATCATGTTGCCGCCGCCAGCAAAAAGGTCTCCATTACTCCACATTACTCAGCACTTTGGCTACACTTGCCACACAGAAAGGATCTGCTCTGTGCTCTGCGTGTGCCACCACTCGACTCCCAGTATCTTATTGATTTTGCTTGCTTGCTGTATCCTTCTCTGCTGCTACTCTGCTCTGTTGAGTTCTGTGTTCAGTTCTTTTCTTTTAATTTGCTGGCAGAAAGGAAAGTTAGCCCTGCCTCTTTTTTTGTGCTGCTGCCACTGACATCGACATCGGCAGTTGGAGCTGGACCTGGACCTGAAGCAAGGGCATGGGGTATCCTTTCTTTTAAATTCTTAAATCTGAAAAATGTAAAAGAGAATCCGGTATTAGCGAGACGACCACTCCAACAATGCCCATTGTAGTTGTATCGTACATACAGTAGAGTAGTGCCTCCAGTGGCTCTGCTCTGCACTTGCCCCCCGTTTGTAATCTCTGTTTACAGAATTTAGCTTTGGCTCTGAATAGAATGGGCAGAATGGGGAGAATGGATGTGGGGGAATGGTATGGGGTATGGGGTATTGGGTGCCTGCGAAATGGATGGAGGTTTAAATCGCCTTTCAACAACATTTTGTAATTTGTTGTACGTCCAGCTGGACAACACAACAAAGCACCAAACCACAGGCACATCTACATCCGCATCCACAGCCACAGCCACAAAAAGGTGGAGACCCTGGGCCCTGGACCCCGACTTTGGCATCGACATCGGCATCGGCATCTTTAGAAAATCAGCATCAATAGCCTGTCGAATGCTTTTTACTTTTATGTTCCTCTTTCTCTCACTCTCCCATTCTCTCTCTGTGTTCTCTTTTTTGTTTGTTCTCGTTCCAGGAGCGGTTCAGCATCACCTCTCCGCATTGGCTTCAAGCATACAAATACTTTTCAGTAATTTTAATCAACGGAAAATGCCTAATTTCACTTCAATCCCCCAACTGCGATTGAAAGGACCCCACAATAAGTTTTCCTGAAATTTCCTGCCCCTCTCCCCCAAACACCGAAACGAGATGAATCCGCTCCGCTTCTGGCCCTGGTTCTGGGGCGCACAGATAGGGGATGGGACGGAGAGACAGACAGACAATGAAAACGTAAAAAGCTCAAAAGGTTCATTTGTCAATTTGCCATTTGAATTTGTATTTGAGAGAATTCACTTGGCCGCTTTTGCCGCTTTTGCTGCTTTGTCCTGCAGCAGCAGCAGCATCACCCTGCCACACCAGCTATCCCCCTCCCCACCCTTTGGAGGCAACCTACAAAGCAGACAGTCAAACCTTGGCAGCAACCTCAATTTTAGCTCATCCCTCTGGCCCCCTCCTTCGGACCCGTCGGTCGGGTGGGGTGGTGGTCCTGGCAATGCGGATAATATTTCCTGTGTCAGTGCACCAGCAGTTGGCAGTTGCAATTGCTGACTTGCCACACAGCGCTCGACTACTATCCATCCCGTCCCATCCCAGCCGAGTCCTCTCTCTAGTATGTAGTGGTACCCCCATCGTCGACAGTTTTATATTTGCTGCTGCTATGAGGAGGCACTCGTGCTCGTGGGGGCACTGGAACCGCATCGGCATCGGCATCGGCATCGGCGGCACTCACAGGTTCTTTGGTTTGATATTCATAAATGTGGCACAGTGGGCCAAAAAAGCAAAGCTAATTTGATGGCCAATTGCCAAGACTGGGACTGGGACCGGCCCGTAGCCAATGTGCGGTAGAATATTAAAAAAATATTATGGAAGAATATTGTATGTTGCAAGCAGGTCTGCTCTGACTGCAGCCGCAACTCGTAAAGCAAATCAATTAACTGCTGCCACATAGAGGGCGAAGAGGGGCAGAGAAGCAGATACTCGTTCGGAGATGATGATGCCCCACAAAGATACGAGTTATTGTCTGGCTCTCTGTGGCATGTGGCCTCTGGCAGGCCTCTAGCTATCATCGGGCTAATCTCTTGGAAGAAGGTCCTGGTAATTGTTAACCTGTAAATGAAGGACTCTACACTGCAATTGGCATTTGGTAATTTGATTTCGTATCCCATATCCAGATAATCTCTGGAAGGGAGCTAAGCTTCAAATGTTTCCATCTGGGAATTGGATTTCGAATCTGACTTGACTTCGCTTTCAGTATGCAGCAGTGCGTCTCTCACAGAAGACTAAATCAAAACAACAATTGTAACCGAATGGCATTGGATTTTACTTATTTATTAATACAATACAACGGCCATGTGAAATGAAGTAAATGGAAATTGAATTTTCTTGTCTCCTAGAAAATTCTAAGCAACTTGTGCCCTCACCAAATGAATGGAAGAGCTCTGTATATCTGAATGGATATATAGCGGTGAATCCTTTCAATGGTGATCCTTAGGTTTTTATGTATATTTTGTGCTTAAAGGGTTATCCACCAGGACAATATTATGAATGAATGGAATGAATGCCACTTATGAAGGTACTCCATCTGTTCAGGACAGAAGCTCTAACAGGACAGCAGCACTGTTAACAGTCCAGGGTAACAGCCTGTTAACAGCCTGTGGCCGCCCACTGTTAGCGGTTTCACGCGCCCCTTAGTGAAATACCGAATTATACAGATGATATACAGTGGCTCACAGCTCAAATGAACCAGAGCACCTTTCACACTTAAAAGTGCTATAACTTCTAAACCATCTAACCTACAACTAAAAATGTATCAAATGTATCCTGATAGATATATATTTAACCTTAATCGAAACCAACCTCATATATTTTTTAAGATTTTTTTGGGACACTTTTAACAATTAAAAACAAAAATACTGGCCTTCTTCATTCCACAGCTTATTTAAACCGGATTTCTTATAAATAATTTATTGTATTTAATTTTCTTTTAAACTAAAAATTAGTACTTGGTAGGCGCTCTTTATTGTTTATAGCCATTGGTAAATTGGAAACCTATTTTGCGTCGAGTCGACCAATTTTCCTGTGATTTATCTCGTAATGCTCCTCCCACTCCTCTGAAAGTGCTGATTTTAAGTAATTGTTAACGTTTTATAATGTTTTGATCCAATATCAGCCAAAAACTCTCAATGTATTTTAAAGTCAGGCAAATGAGCCAACGGAATCAACCAGTGGAGACATTATTTATTTGGACAGTTCCGAGTAATTCCCGATTTATGTTGAGGATCGTTCGCCTGGTAAAATCAAAACTATGTTTTATACCGAGTTTTTCGAATCTTTGTTGTATGTTTTCTTTAATTATCGATAGATAACATTGCCCTGTCCATGTGTCCATCAAAGAAATTTAATTCCCAACACGAGCGGCTGACCTAAGGCCTCAAACATGCCCATGTCCTCATCCATGCATAGCTCTATCTTGCAGGTTCTTCATTTCAAGCTCATCATTTGGCCAAAACGGCTAAGAAATGATACAAATTTTGTTTTTTTTTATACCCGATACTCATATAACCGTCTCATAAGTCGCTGCAACTATGATAACATCTTCAAGAATTGGCTGGCATCATTCGGGGTATGTACGATGAGACGCACCACGACTTTTTTCTTCGTACTCATCGCTGGAGTCCTGCTACATGCTACAAAAAAAATCTCCAAAAAGATCCATTATGCATTAATGGAAACGAAAAGAAGATGATATTAAATAGACAGATACATGATCTCAAAAATTCCTAAGACTATAGGGAACCACTCCTAGAATTCCATGGTATATTTAACTCGTTTATTTCCCCGCTTAATTGTCACATTAAAAAATCATCAAAGCTTACACAGAAAAAGAAGTTAGAAATCTGCCTGTGTCCTGTATCCTGGCGCCCTGTTCCTGGAATCCTTTCCTCAAACAACATATTTAATTCATTAATTATCCCCCTAGTTGAACCAATGAAAATTCATCAATTCACTTTGATGAACGCAACTCAAACGAAAATTGCTTAAAAATTATTTATATTTTAAATGTATTTATGTACATATGTATGTAAATATGTTTGTCAAATGAAATTCATGTAATACGAAAACAATTGATTACGGATGCGCGCCACAAAGAGTTTACATATTATTTACATCTGTGTCGAATTAATTACGCAAAATAAATATTTCACCACTTGATTCTTGTTACTATTCCATTCGGATGCAGTTTCAAATTAAATTTACATTTTTCCCTTAATCTCTGAGAGGCTATTCATTGTATCTTTCATGGCCTTTCATGGCGGACACTTTGTTCGGCCGACAAATAAATGCCAAAATTTTAGTGTTTCTCTCTAAATTGTTGGTTTTACTTTCCGTACAATTCCATTTGACAATTGGAATTCAATTTCAATTTGTTGCCTGGTGGAAAAGTTAACTAATCCGCCCCTCGACCACGCCCCCCTCATTTGTAAAACTTCATCAAATGTAATTGTCGGAAAACAGTAAAAAGTCCTTGTCCAGGGCCAACAATTGGAGGCCATGCCCCATGCTGCATTACCAAATTAAAAACAAAAACTAAACTAACTTTTCTGCTTTTTATTTTTTTATTTTTAACTTTCATTTCTCTCTCACTCTCTCTGTCTTTTTTGTTTCTCGAAACTTGCTTCCGTCATCCTACCACGGTGCGTAAACAGAGTCGTGGCATATATATATCGTTCCGGAGGAGTCTTTTTAAGGAATATTACTTTTATATGGAATTTTATGTCATTTAAATCATTATGAAATCGTGTTAAGCTCTTTTAAAATCTTTTAATAAAGATATTATTCCAATATTATTTGTGGTTTGTATAATTTAATATCCATTTTAGTTCGGTAGTTAGGTAGTAATGTCTATCAGTTCTTCAATAAAAATATTTGGAATTTAATTTCAATTATTTGAAAAATGTTTCTAAAGCCCTAAATTATCAAAAGGATATTTACAAACTGTTGTCTTTGAACAGAATGAATACCTCTCGCATCTACCAATTTTGTATATATTTATCTCTCAAACTCCCAAGAGCTTGGTGGCGACGGACAATCCCCTTGCGACTAAGCCTCTGTTTCGTATGCAAATCGTTTCTTTGCCGCCTGGCTGCGCTCTTTCTCGCTCTTCCTGTCTTCAGCCACGCCCACTGGCCCGCCCACTCTCGCCATGGCATTGTTTTGTTATTGCACTAGCACGTGCGAATGTGCGTGCAAATGCAAATGGCGATAGAAAACTTTTTAAATTGAGCAAACATTAACAAAAAGGCAAATCTAGAAGTGGATCAGGACGGGCAGGGCTGGCGGGGCATGACCTCCACTTTGCAGAAAGAGAGAGAGAGAGAGAGAGAGATTTTATGGAGGGGGTGAATGAAACACCCAGAGCAGGTTGTTCTTATCGCCCGTCATCGGAC